CCCCTGGACCCTAAACATCCAACCCCGACCCCCCGTCTCCCCCACCAAATCCGCCACCCACCACGACGTCGCGCGTGTGCGTCAGCAGCGCCGCGCTGTCAGACGCGAGCCACACCTCCACCCCCGACGCGCCGCCGGCGCCGCCGGCGCCGGCGCCCGCGCCCGAGGCCTGGTCGCGCGCGGCGGCGTCCCCGGCGTCGCTGGCGCGGTCGCCGCGCTTGAGGCCGTACACCAGGGGGCTGCCCTGCTTGCAGGCCACGAGCTCGTTGGGGTAGCGGGCGCTCTTGATGAGCAGCGCGTACGCGCCCTCCAGCTTGCCGCACACGTCCATCGCCTGCAGTTTGGTTGCGCGTTCATGAAAATATAAATTAGCAAGGGCCAACACGTGCCGAACCCCTCTCACGTCCCTACCCCCCTCCCCCTCCCAGCCCCAGTCGCCGCCTCCGACCGCGTGCTGCCTGGTTCAGACCCCAGATCACAGATCACGCCCAGATCGCCCCAGATCGCGCACCAGCTGCCCCAGGGAGACGTTGCCGCCCTTCTTCTTCCAAAGGTACTCGCAAAGGTGGGGCACCACCTCGGTGTCGGTCTCGCTCACAAACACGGCGCCATTCTTCTCCTGCTCGTGGCGGCGCCGCGGCCACACCGACAGAGGGGACGACGGCATGGCGACGTTCAAAGCTGGGTCGGCGGCGCCGTGCTTGTGTCGTCGATTGCATTGCCGAGGCCAGGCCCGCACAGCTAGCCCGCGCGGGCGCGCGCACGGGCTAGCCTCTACGGCGCCCGCCGCCCACTCCTGCCATACCCGCCAGACACGCGCCCGTCAGCCTCCAGGACCCTCAGGCTCACGCACCCAAACTCCAAACCCACAACCTTGAACCCTGGACTCTGGAACCTCAGCCCTGAACCCTGGATTCTCAAAATCCTGAGCCCTAAACCCTCGACTTTCCAAACCGTGAGCCCTGAACGATCGGCCCCATCACCCACCAGGAAGGGCTTGAGCACGTTGAAGTTGGTGATGATGCCGTTGTGCACCACCACAAACTCCCCGTTGGCGCCAGACACGTGGGGGTGGCTGTTGGTCGCACTGGGGGGGCCTGGGGCAGGGGCGGGGACGGGGGTTGGGGCGCTGACGGGCGGCACGGGGGCGAGCAGGCGCCCTGAGCGGCAGCCCTGGCGGCTGTACGGGAGCGTTCCCGCCGCGCCCACGCCCGCGGGCGCGTGCAGCGGGCCCTGGTGGCTGAGAGCTCACTCCGCACCGGCCGCCCACTGCCTGCACGCGCGCGCGCGCGCGCGCCCCCCGCCGGCCGGGCCTCACCGTGCGTCGCCCAGCGGGTGTGGCCGATGCCCACATGCGTGTCGTACGCCTCACTGCCGCTGTAAGAGTTCTCGGCGAGAACTTCCGCCGCGCGCGCCCTCAGGTCTGAGATCTTCCCCTGGTGCTTGATCACCAGGGGGCACTTGTCGCCGTGCGCGCCGGCCGGCGCGTCCACGCAAACGCCGGCCGAGTCATACCCGCGGTACTGCGGGGGGGCAAGGGGCGGCGCGAAGGGCGATTTGTTTTGGGTTCGAAGCGCAGCCGCCGCGGCGCGGCGCGCGGCGCCGCAACACGCGCCCCGGGGCGCTGAGCCGCCTTGCCCAGGGTTCTCAGCGGCCCGGGGTCGATAGAAGGCCGGGCGCCGCCGCGACCCTCTAATGGCGAGGGCGTTGAAGACATGTGCGGCTCGGAGGCGCTCCGCACAGCTTCCGGCCCCGTCACGCGCGGGGGTCGTGGCGCGGCTGCGGCGGCCTCGGAGCCCGCGACAGTCCGGGCTATCCGACGCTGCACACTGCCCCGCGGCCGGCCGCGCCGTGCCGTACGCTGCTCCGCCCCGCACGGGCGTGCCCTGTCGCGCGCCGCGCCGCGCCGCGCTGCGCTGCGCGTCGTCGGACTGCACCGCGCAGCCCGCGCACCTCGAGGCGCTGCAGTCCGTCGAACAGGGTGTTCAGGATGGCCTGGACTTGCTTGTTGTGGCCATAATTGGCGTACCCTGCGGGGCGGCAGTCCGGCGGCGGCGGCGGGGCGCGTCAGCGCACGAGCATGCGCGGCGCGCAGCGCTTGGGCGGCCCGGCACCGCTCGGAAACCCGGCGCTGGCAGTGTGAGGGCGCGGCTTGTCGAGCGACTCGACGCAGGAGCGCCGAGAAGCGCGCGAGCGGCGCGCGCCGTGCATTTCCACAGGAAGCGGCCACCCACCAAAGATGCCGCACATCTTGAAGGGCTGCAGAGGCGGGTCGCGCGGGGTTTTGGG